TTATTATAAAACTTAATAAAGTTGTTGAAGCTGTACACAAAGTACACTTAACCAATTTAACGATCCTACAGCAGGCCTATGTATTAAAAGAACATGAACCTACTTCTAAATGCAAGTTCCAGAAGGATGAATACATTCAAGGTTAATATTCCGTATTGTAATATGTGCACAGGTTTTTTGTGACATTCCGTACGTAAAATTTATCACCTAATTTGATCTCTGGGTGCTGTTTGAATTAACACGGCCTGAATACTACAGGTGCATGAAGAACGTTAATTTTTATGTCAACACAGCCTGAATACTACATGTGCATGAAGAACGTTAATTTTTATGTCAGTATACAATTCATGTCCTAAATATTAAGAACCTGAATACATTCCAGATTAGTTTTCTGACGGCAGAGTGTTTCACAACTTCCTGTATATTCGGATAATTCATGATAATTCGGTATCAGTCAGAAAAAAATATTTTCAAAATGGGACACAACACTGTCTTGGAATATACAAAAATGTCAGTGTATTTTATTTGTACAGCTGTTACACGAGATTCATAAATAACAATATCTTACACCATTAAAAATTATAACTTAGTTTATATTTTTTGCGATTTGATTTGCAAAGTAGAACAGCTTACAATCACTAATGAATCACAATCATATTTATCACACAGCCTGACAGCTCATTCTTGTTTCGTATATAATTAAAATATAGTCTATTATTCCATAAGTACATTAAGCTGTTTTACAAATTAATTAAAATAGATTGATATGAAATCATATATTTACTTGTATATTAAGATTTTATCTGTGAACGTAGTAGCCCATTTGAGTCACGGTATTCATACGTCGTTCATGTAGAGTTCAGTCTTCAGTGCTCTGCTGGGAAGTGAGAATTCTGCCCTCTGTAGTCGTCTTTTAACAACTTAGGAAGAAATGGCGTTACACCTCACATTTGGAATCTTGAGTGTTTAGAAGCTTCTTACTTTGGCGGAATGATTACAGCGCATCAAATGCACATCACAGAATGCTTTCTGAGGCACCCTGTCAGGATATACCGGCACTGGACTCGGTGGAATCTGTATCAGAGATGCTGATAATTTGAACTTTGATCCTCTCGACAGCTGGTCTAAGGTCGCTTTCGAATCGTAGATCGTAGTTTTACCATTGCATTCTAGTTTTTACGTGAAAATAGATACATGTATCTTCTATTTCGAAGAGATGTATTGCAGATAACCACGCCATGCTTAAAAATCACTACGTCCTTTTGTTAGGCGTCATACTTCGTGCCCCCAAAATAAAAAAATCTCATCTTCCGTTTTAAAGTCGAAAATATAAGGGGTACCTCATTCAGATTGCAATCACAAAATGTCTGCCACTATTGCACGGTTTTAAGTAAAAGAGCGAGAGACAGAGAAATGAAATCACTGGCTGTACTTTGTCAGATCTTCCCACGCTGCGCCATCTTTTGAACAATATTGCTGTGCCAGAAATATCGTAAACATCTAATCATGGATGCCATTGAAGAGTACATGTGATGTTTATTTAACTACGCTTTTCAGTAGCTCAGACTATATATCGTCGAAAATGAAAGGGTAATAGTGGCTAATGAATCGGAAAGGACATGGAAAGAAGCGGTCGTGGCCTATTTTACGGTGGGACTGAGTCACTGCAGCCGCTCTTCGGGCCGAGATTTGAAATGGATCACCCGAATTCGAAGCAGGAGTGCTAACCACTCGGCCACGACGGTCAGTACATGTGATGAATACGAAGGATACATTTACATGTTATAAAGAACAGTCTCTTTATAATGTAACCTTACAAAACGGGCTGTTTAAGAAGATTTTCTAGAACAAACTTTCACTGAAACAAATAGAAATATTCATATGTCTGTGCATCCTGTGATTCTTCACAAAATCTGATTTTACACGCTCATTTTTCAGCCTTTAAACATAATTAATAAACGTGAGTCTGTGAGTAACTGCAGGCCTGGTGTCACAGAATACCTCCTCACTCACTGCCTATCCCGTCAAACATGACTGCGCTGCAAAGAGAACACTGTGGCAAAGTTCACGGCGATGAGTCTGTGGTTCCTGAGGTCACAGTTTGGGTCATGACACCAGATCCAGAGTGCTATTCTGATGAGGGCGTTTCTTGTCTGGTTTCTGGCACCACGCAAACTCCCATATCCCCTCTCCCTCTCCGAACGCCTCGCCATCCTCCAAGGTGACTGGCAGTGTCCTGTAGAGTGTTTCTGGCAGCAGCAGGCATAGTGCGGCTCCGATGATGGACAGTGAACCCAATACCAACTCCGGAATGGCTCTCGAGTAGTTTGCCTGTTGACAGGACGAGATGCACGTCATTAAGACCGCCTCATTGTCTCCAACCGAGTGACCACCAAAGAGTTTTTAAGTTCTAGAGAGGAAAGAGTTGCTGACTCTGAAGCTCGGTCGGTGTTTTTTTAAGTCTTACGCTTTCATACATTTCGGGTGTGGTTAAAATATAGAAAAAATGTTTGCTTCATGATTCTTAAACGCACATAGTTATTTTGTTTTGTGAAGAAAACAACATGTGGTGCCCGTTTTGAAATCAGATATCCTTCTAGCTGCCCTCGCCCAAAAATAGTTAGCGATCCCTAGTCTACAACGTATTACTTTATGATAAGGGCTGGATGTAGTACTTAAGGGCGAGATAAGAACATCGCTCGGCTGGTCAATAAATTCCCCGCCTTTTACAGAACCAGAAGGTTATTTACCGTGTTTACAAGAGCCAGCCACTGGTCCCTGCTCTCAGCCACATGAATCCAATACTCAAACTCGCACAAAAACTTTTGGTTTTCTGAAAACAACTCTAAATTAACTGCTCTCATAATGAGAAAAATTAGATATTCTGTTTTTACAGTCCCAGTATTAATGCCTCAATGAATGTTCAAAATGCTTCTCAGCCTCGTTATTATTACAAATTAATTATATGCTGTATATTATATAATTATAAATTAAAGTTCATATTTCTCATTTCGGTGAATGATGAATTGGGAAGGCATGTGTACCTGTCCCGGCTTCAGAACTGCGACCCTTTCTTGGCCTTTAAAATCTGTGAAAACAAGTTACGCGTAGAGAATCATGAGCTTCTGTGATGATGACGACAACGATCTCTGGGATACTAACCAGGTACAGGATATGAGAACTGAAGAAGGTCGCCGCATATCCCACCATGTGGATGGCAGACACTCCCTGACCTCTGACCTCGGTAGGGATCAGTTCTGCGGCGTACTGTGCCCCTGAACTGTAGGCAATGTTGACGCCGAACCGGCCAACCACGGCCAAAGCTGCCGTTACTATAGGAACTGAGGGCAGAAAAACATCATCAGTCAGATGGCAGAGAGATTTTTCATAGAAACGAGCTGTTGTGTGATTCTGATGCTCATATGTGATTATTAACAACTCATCTTTGATTATTTTTCATAACTCTAGATCTTTTGTTGTCATACTAATCGCATTAAATATGGGGAAAAACTAGGCAACGTTGCAAGTACCATCTTTAGGGTGAATGAGCGTTTTTAGGGGCCTTATATAGGGCGGCTAGTGGCACACAGGTAGCTATCTGGCATACGTTTAAAACTTAGTTACCACTCTTTGCGCCCACAAAGGCGATAACGAGTCCCGATGAGATGGTGAACACGCCACTGATAAGCAACGATCCGCTAGCCATCGCCTTGCGTCCCACGCGGTCCTGTAGCAGCAGAATCACCAGCGAGGCAGGAAACTTGGTCACCGAGGTCATGCTGAACATCAGGAAGGGACTGTAGCCCAGACCATCCACGTTCCTCGAGATCGCGTCGAAACACAGAGTCAGCACCATCCTGTGTAGCGGCAAACATTGAAATTGTGGGGAGGACTGGCGATATGTGATTATAAAAGAATGGTTCAAAGGTCAGAACACACTGGCCATCATCTCAGACTGCGAAGTTGTATGAACGTGGATGTATGTGCTTGTAAAGATATTTGCAAAGGCACACAAGAAAACTAATAAAATTCAATGCAAAATCATTAGGAAAAAAATAACACACATGAAAACTAATTAAAATCAATGCAAAATCATTAGGAAAAAAATATTTAGAAGCGTTTTAATTCCAAATGTGTCCTGATTTTGAGCTACAGTGTATTCGAAAATAACAATCAGAATATGATACGACGCCTAACGTAGCGACGCCAATACAAGATTCCGAATGTAAAAAGAAGGACCTTAGAGTGACACAGAACACGATGCTTGCAAACCGACGCCGAGCCGAGAACAATATATGGACCCTAGAGAGACGAACTAAGTGATGCATAAAGAATTTTGACAACGAACTTTGAGTATGAACTGGATTTGTCTCAAAAGGAATTTTAATACTTAAATGTGCAATTTCGAACTTCTGGGTTCTTCTACCAGACTGACTGAGAGGCCTAGTTAAAAGATAGGGATACAAATGTTAATACATTACGATTTAAAGATGAGGATGCAGGTTTTCCTTCTGAGGTGCGGAGTCTTGAAGAGTCCCAGGAGGTTGCCTGTTCGAGGAACGCTGAGTTTCGCCGACGTCTGCAACCAGAACAAGCGAAGGCCGTTACACACTGAAGGATGGTGACGCGGGAACGAATCAAAACTACTCATACAATTCATCTAAAGCTCAGTTTTAAGTTAAAGGCTTTTCTACGGACAAGAATGACTTAAAACTATCTGCGTATGAAATTAAATGGAATTCATGTGTGGGACGGGAATGAAAGACCGAGATTGCCCCCTATTTGAAATTTTATTTGCTGAATGCACATTGGAACACGGAGCTATTCATAGCATCGCTCTTCATTTGTCGTGTACAAACCAAGCACATGAATGGAATAAAGAATCTGTTAAGAGGGCAGACCTGTTCTTCTTATCCGCAGTTTCGTGGAAGATATTTTCTTTTAGCGATTTAATAACAAGTTTATAATTATTCCAGATGTGGAAATTATACAAGATTCGTAACAGGAATATTGTTTTTGAATAAGGTTTATGACCTATTGTTGATCTCATCTCATATCGACAACGGGTTAAGTTTATAATGTGCGTCACTCGCCTCGAATGTCTGGACAACTTCTGGTGGCAGCGTCTTTCCGTTGAAAGCGGCGACGTGTTTGAAGCACTCGAGGGCCTGCTGCACGCGGCCCTTGCTGAGGAGCCAGCTGGCGCTCTCCGGCACGCAGAAGTAGAAGCCAGGCACCAGAATATTGGGCACTGTGATAATCGCCAGTTGCCTGCCCAGATCGCCACCCAAGGCACTGTGATGCAAGCTAAAGTGTGGAACACGCCGATACACAGGTTCAGTCCCAAGGTGCGCTTGTCTGGCCGCATGTACTCCAACACTGCCAACACAACAAGCACTTATACGTAAGCGTGTCGAATACGCCGTGCGTGTTTCTGCTTTACCTTTGTGCAGAATTCGCGTTCAGGCACAGGACTTCATGGAGAACGACTGATTTATTTGTCCGTCATGACTCGTAGGCATGCATTTTGCATTGTAAATCTGTAACTGACAAACTGATGCCACGTTTTAAAAGGGAGCAAAGGAAACAAGAAAGGAGGGGAAAAAGAAAGGACGGAAGAATTCAAGAGAGAATTGGAGAAATGAGATGAGCGGAAGTAAGGACAGAGGGAATCTGTAAGGGGGAAATACAAGAGATATATATAAATTAAGGAAGGAAGAAAGAAAGAAACATACAAATACACTTCATTTTTACTTTCTGATATTAATAATTCATGACGGTGAAGATAACGACGGTGGTATTCTGGGTTCTGACACCTTGTGCTCTTGTAGGCGGTGGTTATCAACGTTTAGATGCGATACTGACATCCACCTACAAAAACCAGTACCACAACCAGAAAATCGACCATTACAGACTTTTTGATTTTGTTGGACACTCACCTATAATATACATCATGACGAAGTTGTTGTCGGTTGCCAGGCCGTTCACCATCCTGCAGAAAGCGAACTCTGGCAGTCCCGAGGTGAACACTGTGGCCACATTTCCGACAAGGGCCAACATGTTGGCCAAGATGAGAACCGGAAGACGGCCGATGTGGTCCGACATGACACCCAGTCCCAGCGACCCGAGCACCGAGCCCACGAAGAACATGGATTGAGCCATTGCGGGCTTCCAGCTGTCATCGCAAACCCAGTGCAACTACCAACAAAAGGGCACAAGTGTAGACGACCGCAGAATGAAAAGTCATATGCACAGTTCCGGATTGTTTCTCAGCTGTCAGCATACAGCCAGTTTTCGAAAGGAAGGGAACACATCCAACTTCATCTTCTTTCTGTTGGTTCTTGGGCGCTGTAGCACGGTTCAGGTCATTTCCTTTCGATGGTTTGACACACTACAAACGATTTATTTTCTTTCACTACAGAAAATCGCTCAAGATTGTGTTTTCTTGTGCGCTTCTAAATAATTACTGTCGACAAATGTTTTTGGGTTTCTGGAGGGTTCTTTATTCTGGGATCCAAGCCAAGTTCACATGATTTAACGTTGCGAAGATGATATCTGTAAGCGTATTTGCCATTTTTGTTAATACAGAGTCAAAAGTGCAGTATTATAAAGGTAGTGCAAAACCCTGTTCAGTAGTTCCAAGTAGTGATCACTAGGGGTATAGCTGACGTCAGTCGGATTACTGTTCTCGAAATAATTCATTACGTAAGCAGCAGTAACAGGAATTAACATTAAAAAGTATCCAGTATCGATGTAAGTGTCCGTAGTGGTAATGCCGCGCGGACTAGTGAGAAGATACCAACGTTTCGGAGGAACATACTGCTTCCACCTTTAGCCCTGAAGATGGAGGAAGTGTTTTTTCTCCCGAAACGTTGGCGTCTACCTACTGTTCCAAGCGGCGTTACGACTCAGAACACCAACAACGACACGAAATATGTCGTATCGCTATCAAAGTCTTGTGGTTCTTTAGCTCGATTCGAGAAGGTCGAGTGGGACTCGGTAAGGTCGAATGCATTCGTGTGAGCACTGACAGTGTGTGTTATCCACATTAATCACCTGTATTCCTGTTATGTTTTATCTACTGATATACGAGGTGCGATCGGAAGGTTTCCAGACTGCGCGTATAAAATCTCGTACACTTATCTCAGGTATTAAATTCATCCATCACCCTCGAAGTAGTTCCCCTGGGAGTGAACACAACGATCCCAGCGCCGCTGCCAAGCCTGGAAGCATCCCTGGAAATCTTTCTTGGTCAGCCTGTCAAGCACCATCTGCGATTCTGCCTGAATCTCTTCTATCGTCTCAAATCTCCATCCCTTTAGCTGAATTTTCATCTTTGGGAAGAGGAAGAAGTCACACGGAGCTAAATCCGGCGAATAAGGAGGGTGCAGGATGACGGCCATGGTGTTTGAGGCCAAAAACTGCCGAACTTTGAAGGCGGTGTGCGCTGGTGCGTTGTCATGATGCGTCGCATGTGGAGTTCTTCCTTTAGAATCAGCGGACAGGTCCCATAGCCTATCCCAACAATGTCGCACAAGTCGTTGATGGTACGACGTCGAGCTTCGTAACATTTTCGGGCGTTGTGCTCGAAGATGGTCGTCCAGAACGCTCGTCATCATCGACAGAGGTTCGGCCATTTTTAAAACGTGAATGCCACACAAAAGTTGGTGCACGACCCATTGCGGACTCCCCAAATGCTTGCTTGAGCATTTCATAGGTTTCCGTAGCCGTTTTGGCGAGTCTTTGGCAAAATTTGATGCACACGCCATTCCGAAATCGCAGGAGGGTCGGTGTAATGCACTACCAAAACGCCCATAACTAAGAAACAAATGCTAATTCGATGATGCCGGCTGGCACACTGATTCACTATGAATGTAGGCCGCACCCCCTAGCAGCAGAAGCTCGTACTACATCCGGTTCGCCCTCTATTGACACAGCCTTTAAACTTTCCGATCGCACCTCGTATGAAATTTCCAGGGATGCTTCCAGGCTTGGCAGCGGCGCTGGGATCGTTGTGTTCACTCCCAGGGGAACTACTTCGAGGGTGATGGATGAATTTAATACCTGAGATAAGTGTACGGGTTTTTATACGCGCAGTCTAGAAACTTTCCGATCGCACCAAGTACGTTCTCTACAAATTATGTTCAATGAATACGAATAACTGACAATTTTTAACGAGTTTTGAAATAATGCTTTTTACTCGCAAGGCACCCTGGAACTTGATCATTTCAAAATAGCCCCATCCGACCTCCGAGTAAAAACATTCCCATCCCTACCTTAACCGTTACTGTCTTCTAATACAGTTCTTAGTTTTCTTCAGAATATCGAATGGGAGACTACAATATGCGAAGGAAGGCTAGTAACCACAAAGCCGGAAATCTTTATATCCATAAACACTTCCGGTAACACCAAGTGAACAACATCTTTCTAGGCTTAGATGGGGATAATATTAAAATGAAGCTTAAGGAAGTATGGTGCGAGAGTGAAATGGATTCCTATGTCTCAGGAAAGGGACCGATGGCGAGGTCTTGGGAACACCGTCACTGAACCTAATGGTTCCAGAAAAGCGGGAAATTTCTTCACTAGCTGAGCGTAATATTAGCTTAATCGGTTGGTTGGATGGTCTCTTAGAAGTCATCTTTCTCTTGAAAGATCCACGAGTTTTAAATTTCTTCCTTCTGTTACTTTAGAGCCACGTTTGTTGCTTTGTAAACGCTCGTATGGAGTCTGACTTCTGAATGATATTAGTTCGTATGGCGCACTCTGAGGTCCCAAAGTATGCAGAGTAAATCGTTAACTTGTTCCGCATTCTTTACTGTAAATATCTACAGCAACATCTCTGGATTAATCGGTACATTCTAAGGCGTGGGATTTTGTCTTACAGGTTTTATTCTGGATCATTTTTCCATCTGTTGCATGGATACCGCAGCTCTCATGCTACACGAACGGACACGATGAAGATTATTTTGACAGTGAGCGTACGAGATTTCCACATGTTTGCGAAGCAGTTTTTGAAACGTCGAAGAAGCACTCGATGCCAGGCTATAAATACAGCGCCCGTACTTTCAACACGTTCGTGGTCAACACAGTGCAAAGTCTGTGCAACAGAGGGCGCGCGGGTCGTGAGGCTGTGCCTGTCGATATTAAAATCTTAACGCCAAGCCTTAACTTTGTTGTTGTGATTTGTTTCCGCGTACACAGAACAGCATCATGTTGTACCGAAAAGCGCGCTTCAACTTAGTCTTCAATCTCAACATGTTTTTGGAATTGACTGACATAAGCCGGTCCTATTTCGACAGACAGACACCACGGGCTTCGAATTCTGCCCGGGGAATGTTTTCCCGACGATAAAGACTACGCATTCGTAATAGGCTAACCCACAACTAACATTTATTAACTCGATTTTTAGTTTATTGTTAGTTAATTTGCTTAATGAAAAAGGAAAATCAGACCCAGAGGTTCAAAACCTGCAAACGTACGATCCTGAGAAAGTTTCGTTCACCAGCAATCCTCAAACTCTTAATGTCATCCTCCCATCTTCCTCTTGGTCTTCCAAGTGTTATCTTAGAATTATTTCTCAGTCGCAACGGGCCAAAGGGTCATGGTAGGTTCGTAATGTAATTTTCATATTTCCTTAACGATGATTTGTATTGTTTTGATGTTAATTGCCTTTCCAAGTAAGACATTAAAACCAAATACACTACACTGAATCGAAGAGAAAGAACCCGGGACGCACCCCATAAAATGCCTTTTGAATCACTATATTATTCTTGCGAAAACACGCACGCACACAGACGCAGGCAGGCATAAGAGTTCAGCAGCACTTGACATGGTGCATCGTGACATTTTGTGTGCCGCCACCTGCAGAAGGTTGGGAAATACTGTAGCGAAAGACCTCGTCATTCGTGTGAGGGGAGCCAAGAACAGACCCGCCATCTTCTTGGAAATTGAACGGCGTCGGAATTCAGTCCGTCAGCTTTCCTTGGGACAGAGAGACCATCCTGCTGGTGAAGTTCTACCTCAACAAGTCCCGCGTGACCTTCCGTCTTCATGTAACAAGAAGCGAGGATATTTATGGAAAATGAGGAACCCCAGTGGCCAAGTACACTCGCCTCGAAAAGATATCGCTACGGGAGTTTACTGTAGGTCGGGAGGACGAGAGAACGAGAGGAAGTTCAAAATCGAAGGCAAGACAGGTGGAAGAAAATGAGAGAGTAATGCAGATAAAATGACACGTTGAAGCTAAATGAGGTAGAAGGGTGAGTCGGAACAGAAAACAAATGTAGAAAGAAAGAAAGAAGTGTACAGACAGAAGACAAGACTGGGAGATGGAAATGACAGAGTGACAGAAGGATTTAAAAGTGGAAGAGGAGCGAGATAAAAGAAACATTAGCAAAGAGAATTCACCTCGCTGATGATGCTCCGGTAGCCGTCCGTCAGGTTGTACTCCCAGCCGGAGTCGCAAGCCCGCAGCGTCCAGTTCCCGTCGCTCCAGTCGGGCGTTCCGTTGACCACGCCGACCGTCGTGAGGTTGGTGTCGTAACGTGAACACGATCCGTCTTCCGGAGGCGTCCATATCCGACGCACGTCCTCGCGAGGCAAGTGGGCCAGCTCGGGCAAGCGACACCAATACTCGGGTTGTACGAAGATGAAAAGCTGGCCAAAATAGTCGAAAGTTGACAGGATATTGATGACGGAGAACAGGAGCATCAGCAGATACTGGTAGCGGCCGAAGTCGCCGGCATGGGCCAGCATTTTGTCCACATCCATTGCGGCGCCTGCGAACAGGAGACAGCGTCACGTGAACGGTTGGAAGGCCCCTGGCAGCTATCGATGGACGTCGTCGGCGTGGAAGGAAAGAAGGAAGGAGCAGGAGACAAATTGCGAAAGACAGGGGGAGAGAAGCAAAATAATGAAGAGTCAAAGGGAGATGAGTGGGTGATTAGAATGAGGAGAAGATAAAGAGAGAGTGGAATAAGTGAGGTATACACGGAGAAGAAAATGGGGGGCGAGAAGAAAAATGAGAATAATTGGAGTAAATGTAGTGGTAGAAGGTAAAGGGGAGTAGAATAATAACGATAAGATCGAGTATGCAGTACGCGTGGAGAAACAATAAATACATTCAAATATTTGTGTCGAAGTCTGGTGGAAAGACGCCACGTGAGCTACCAAGGTACAGAAGACGTGGGATGGTTTGAAAATAAAGCCGACACGAACTGCGCAAAACTGGCTCACAGCAACTCTCCCAAATAACTGCATCGGTTAGTCAGCGGCTTATTTAGCATCCAATAGGATAAACGGATGGCTGAGGAAGCGGTCGTGACCTATTTTAAGACAGTCATTAGGAACGAGTGACAGAAACCGCTAGTCCTCTATCATGATTATCGGCCCCAAGACCGAGATTTGAACCCAGTAACGACGAATATAAGTCAGGCGTTGTTAGCACGAAGCAAACTCACAGAATACATTGATTTATTGCCTGGTGCGTAAGGCAGTTGATATGAGAGGATTTTTACCACAAGGGAATACTGAACTTATACGTAATTATAATTTCGTTTAAATAGAATATTATGTACAGGCACCCCCACAGGGTATACGCTATAAATGGTGTGTGCGCCACGAAGAACGAACTTTTCTTCGAAAATAAACATTTTTATATAAATAATTATTTCTCGGTATGATGGAAACTGCTGTACAGTCACGTTAAGAAATGAAAGCATGTAATAAGGTCTTAGACGTTGTGACTCTTGAGAGAGTCTGTGCGATGGCATTGCTGGAAAGTACGACCCAAGAAAGTCACCAGTTCGAACACCTGCTGTTGTACGAAGTAAAGACTTATGTTTTCTAGACAGAGTGTATAACGTTTGCTGTGCAGTGTTTGTTATACAAAAATTCGAAGGCATTAAACATTTGTTCTGTACAACCGATGCAGTTAAAATGCGTTGAATAAACAGGAAGTGGTGGATCTGTCGGGGAAAAGAAAGTGGGTCACCATGACGATATAAATACAATGGGGTCAAGATCAGACACATCAGAACGAGGAGTGCATGAAGTGCCACAGGAAGCAGTGCCAACCGGTTGGATTACTGGCTGTTCCTTAATTATCCCATGTCGTTGACATGCAAGACTAAAAGTCCGTTGGATACCATTAAGATAGATCTTAAATAAATAAAGTGTGAGGGCGTGGAGTCACTTGTACGGGCTCACTGTAGACCCCAGTGACGGGTTGTTATGATCCGTTAGGCATAATAATATTCACTTCCCAATAAATACTCTGCTCCAGAGAGTTGTTTCAATTATTGAAGTTCTGTTTCATCAAATGAAAATGAATAGCGAACAGGAAGGAATGTGGGATGAAGCAACCGTGGCCTACCGCTACTCAAAGTCAGTCACCCGTGAGGACTCAGAAATACCAAGAACAGACAATCTTACGTACTTACTTACTCAGTGACTCTACAGTCCAGTCCTTGAAGGATCTTGGCCACCTCACATATGTGAGGTTTCTTAATCTGTCTAGACATTTGTTAGGACTCCTTGGACGGGGGATCAGCCTCGTTGCAGGTCAAGAATAGACTTTCCCCGGTCGGAATTCGAACACAGTGCCTCAGAAATGCGATTCTAAAGCTCCAGGGTTTTGTCCACGGCTTCGGTATTCAGTTTTCTTACTTATGGAACGTCCTGTATTTTTTATTCATTTCGTCACACATTCTAGTGCTTATCAAAAATTTAAAATTGTCGATAATTTCTCTATTGATCGTGTACGCGTACTTGGACGTCATTTAGAACGCCACTCTCATGCCATTAGCGATGAACAAATGTTATTGCCGTTACATAAGGCTTTTGCACGGCGTTCTCATAGCCTGAAAGAAATGAGTGTCGTAAAGCAGTGTTAACGCCGATTATACAAGTATGTCAAGTAGATGTGTCTATAACACGTGCCTTATTACATCATTTCACACGATCATGCTTCAATTACTTATCAGTTATCTTAGTGACACGAAGTATTTCGCGCGACGGCCATAGTGCTACATGTTTATTTCCGTAAAGAAAATATCTAATACTAATTACGTATGTTTAATATCATAGAAACCTATTTAATACAGAATTTCAAGGGGACTTCACATTTTCCGTTTCACACAGGTTTCCGTTTGTCCAATTCAGTTTATTACCCCACGTTTAGTGATGCTAGATATGTGCCATATAGCCAAACAGTAATCTCATACATAAACTCCTTTCGACTTCCCAGGTTCTCCGTTCGAAGTCTAGGTTTAAAAGTGCATAAAGCCCAGTAGGATTGTATATTCATAAGACTGTCGTAACAAAGTAAGTAATTTCAATGTTTCAGTGGGCCTACAATTGATTTTAAAAGCAACTAGGACGCTGAGAGAACGATTTTCGCTTGTATAACAGTAGTAGTCATGGCGACGCGTTATTTTTCGCTTGTAACAGTAGTAGTCATGGCGACGCGTTAAAATTGCTGCTTGATAATTGAGGATTCATGTGTATAATGTTTGTTTGTTTGAGGATTCCGCATGCTGTACGCCGAGAATTGCCGAGGCTACGCGCAAAACGGAAACACGTCATTCATTCATTTCTCACGTGTAAAGTTGGCATAGGATTATTCTGTTCTGCTTTCTTATTCCTATTACATCTACTATGACAGCTGTCAGAGAGTGTAAACTCTGTATATTCAAGACTGTGTGCCGTATATCGGAGAAAATGTTAAGAACGAAACAGTTTCTTGTCGTTCGTGCACTGAACAAACATCATCGGCGCTAAGGTTTTGATGCTCAAAGCACTACGACGGTTGGACAATTACAGAAATAAAATATAATGACCACGTACTATATGTAATCTCCCATAAAAATAAAACAATACAAGTAGGATTTGAGGTTCTCACGTCTGAGTGTCTGAAGATGGCTGTCTTCTGGTATGGTAGAAGTTTACCGACGTTTTAGAGGTCGTTGCTGCCTCCATCATCAGGGCGTGTTAAATATAAGAAGATATCATGGAACACAGTAGCTGGGAAGTGCACACACAATTTTGAGGAGTAGAAGTAAGAATTTGTCTATGCAGATAATTACAAATTTCAGTTACTGTTATCTTTTGCGGATTACAATTATAAACTTTCGACAACAAAAAAGTGTTGCATGTTGTACCCGAAATCGTGCATGCCTTGAGGTTCTATAACTAATTAACCAAAATCACGGTACAGACTCTTTCTTGAAAAGTTTAAAGTACAAAAACTTACCTAACTTTATTGAATATAAAGTTCTATTACCTTGTACGCGCAATAAGTGGCACAAGTATGGAGATAACTGAATTAAACTGGTTTTTCTGTGATGAGGGGTATTTCGTGGTTTTCTCCAGTTTCTCCAGACAAGTACTAGTTTATTACCTTAAAATAGAACACGTCCCTTACTTATGAAGACTTTAAAATTAAAAATTTACAATCATTCTACGCTGTGTAGACCTGACTAATGCATGTGAGAAAGCGTCGTTAAATAACCCAGAAACCAAGCATCGCTGAGATAGTGGGTTCACAATCTGCTTGGTGTAGGATATTTGTGATATGGAGGAAGAGGGGGCCTCTAAGAATTCCTACTGCCTAAATAATCACAGTGGGTTGTAGTTCGAATAAGTAACATGCAGACAGAAGAATTTAAGTGAAATAACTGTTTGCAATGCAATGTGTATCTTTACAGCTAAACTGCATACCTAGATGCAGGCTCTACCACCTGCATTACCGTTAAATAACTCTGTCATTTAGCCTAGAGTATATTTAGGTGTTTCGTTTGCTTCTCAAAATACACAGCGATGTTTTCCTTAACATTAACAGACTGGTGTGTGTTTTCTAAGAGGCAGGATGTGAATTCTTAAAAAAAGTATTGCTTATTTTTAGAAGTTTTGACACCTTAACTGTTTACAGACAAGTGATTACTCTTGGTTGGGCCCGTTTGGGGCTAAATTTCACAGAGACACAGTGTCACCCCATCGCAACAATAAAAAGATCGCTCTGCACCAAATACTTCGTGTTTTATTTGGCTCACAGAATTAACTTCGACTGCATCCGACTGATCGTTTTAACGGAGATTCGATGTTTTCTTGAAGGTTAATATGAACTTCATACTAACACGCAAACGTGGAGTACTCACCCAAATTCATCTCTGTGTGCCAGCCAGAGCTTGCGTCATGACCAAGACGCTTCTCCACAGCAACTGATCCCAAAATAATCAGACGGCCCGCTCAGCGCTGCTGGTGTTTCAACTGGTCGTGACATTAGGCCACGTGTTGACCGAGCTCTTGGTGCGAATTCGCAGTAATTCAATTTATAGTTTACATGTCTCATTTAGAAACCCTCCTTCAATTACTGGTGATAATGAGTAGCGACGATCTGGCGGGGAGGGAAGATGGGTTAGCAGGTTTTCCCACTGTTTTGCTATGTATTATTTAGGGACGTTTTATTAATTACTGGGTTTATTTGCTTAATTTTCATGGGTTATACCGCAAAGAATGAATAGTAGGGAAATCCTCAAAGAAACTGAAATCGTACGTGGAAGTTTTTTGGCTGGCCGTATGAGCAACTACGTAGCTTTTGGAGTTCCACGTCAAGTATTTTGTTGCGTGCGAGAATACCGATAAAACGGAAATCTCTCACAACAGTGAATCGTGGCCTATTTCAAGATTCTGCTCCCTGAGATCTCAGGTGAGAATGAATGACACCACGAAATTCGACATCGCAGAGAAAGGCTAACAAACAAGCGCAGAGCGGCGGATACGTCTAAGGAATGTATACAAACACGAACAAGATATCGGATAAGAGAGTGTTGTAACAAAGCAGTGTGAAATTCCGAACGTCACTTGTAACAACAAACCACCGGTTTCTGTAGTAATTGTGCTAAGACACTTCAACATGTCACTGTTAATTAATTTACTTATTTCCTGACTGTTGCTGTGCTGTAAGAAACGATACATCAGGGAACCTGTTGCTGTAAGAAACGATACATCAGGGAACAGACATCGTTTGTTAATTAAAATCATCCAGCGAAACATTGTTTATGCAACTGCTCGTTGAACAGTTATTTCATTGACGCCAGGTTGGTAGCCTAACCCCGGGTGGTATTAAAAATATGCATTAGATAGTCGATATCTGCGACAATTTGACATTGGTCTTTGTTATTTTTCTGAATTATTTCATGAAATGTTAGGAACTGTAGGAGATGATGAGTATCTTTTTATTATCGTATTTCAGCTGCAGGTTATAGCGTCGGATGGCAGGGGACAGTGAATTATAAATGGATGAATCTTCTTGGCTTTCGACCCTTTGAAGCTGAAGATCGTAAAAAAATTGAGAGAATTTGGTCCGTTTCACAAGTAAAACACAACACTTTACCATTACAAAAATCAGCTGCCTGTTGACTTAAACCGTCATGAAGTAGGCCTACTTTGTTTGACGTCGGTGCATAATCTGCAGACGTAAGTTCTTTAATGTTACGACTTTTCTGTCGCAATAAACATTTAACGAGATATTTAAAACTAGAAACTGGTACTTCGTTCACAGCTTTTATTTAATACAGCTGCTGCTGTGCTGAAATGCTCTTATTTGGATGTCGCCTTCTCAGACGGGAAACCAGAACACCAAACTTCGACGTCTTCAAAGCTGTGAGAACCTCAAATCTCATACAGGAAACAGAAACGCGTGTTGAGTTGGAACTGACACGACACGCGAGGAGAATCAATGTAAAGAGCTGGAAAAGATGCAAGGCTACCACCGAGTCTCGAAAATAATGCACGCAATGAAAGTAACCCTTTAATGCCCGGTGGAAACTTTCTTTTTCAACTCTTTCAGTTTGTTTTAATGTACTCCGTATGATTTTCACAGTAAACAGCGATTATCATTATTAAACATCGTTAAGCAGTTGATCTTCGTAATGGTGAAGTGTTGTGTTTTCTTTGCGGTACGAACTGAATTCTTAAATATTATTCAGACGAGCTTCGGATTCAAAGGATTTGAATGTACGTGATTTAAGGAAGAAGAAGGAGGTTAAATATGCACATATGTTCTTGAAGATACCAAATTATAAATTCAGATCGGTGCATGGATATTATGTCAAGTTCTGTGTCGTGTTCTCTTGTGCAGAAACTCTACGAAGAGTTTAGTTCATAATTGGAATGATAACTGAAGAAAATTGAGGAAAAGTAAGAAGCAGAAGACGGTGGACGCGATAAAAAGGGGCGAACCTGTAAATGGAACGACCGGTATCACAGAACATAAACTTGACATTGAATGCTAATGTTTAGTCAGGGTCAAAACGACAGTTCACTCACTCCTCACTAGCGAGAGCTGTTAACTTGTGCTCCGACCTTACTAAGTCCTGTGTGTTCTGCTTACGGTTCATAAACCTCCTAACTTATTTACCATCGGTCTGCCATGATTTCTGCACCACTTCCAATAAAAATCAGCTTCATTATCACAGTGGCTCGGTTCAGGAACATTTTACTACTACGGAATGGACGACCGTGGTTCTATTCCCGGCAGGGGCAAATATTTTGCTTTTCAACACCGCGTCCATAACGGTTCTGAAGTCCACCCAGCCTAAGATGTAATGAGTGCCGGGGGCGATTTCCCCGGGGGTAAAGCGGCCGGGGCATGAAGTAAATTATCTAAACTATATAAATGAATTGAATAAAAATTTACTTGGATATTATCCATCGTCTAGTAAATACAAAACGTAAAACGACGTTTCGGAGATGGGACTCTATCTCCGTCTTCAGGTTCCTACACAGTTGGGCCCACTAGATAGAGCTAATCCCTATCTCCGAAACGTCGTTTTACGTTTTATATTTACTAGACGATGGATAATATCCAAGTAAATTTTTATTCAATTGACTCTTCACCATCGTCAAGAAGTTTTAGATTTGATATATAAATGAATGTAAAAATTTATAAAAAATGTGTTAACAATATTGGATCTGGATTTATGTACGGACTGTAGTTTGCTCGCCCTGACCGCCTGAGCTGTGGTGCATTATTATTAATTAAACAACTGGCTACGATGCGTCGGACATGTGTCTGGGAAAAGAAAAAGAATTCATAAAGAATTTTGGTGGGAACATGGCCAAGGAAGTGAACACTTCTAGACATAAAGGGAAATACGGAGGATATTACAACGGGTCTCAGTTAGGAGGACTTTAAGGTTGGGAGATGAATGGAACTGACTCAAGATTACGTCTAAAATTAGTTGACGCCTTGGAGTACCGGTAATCGGTTCCCCTCTCAACTCTCCCACCAATACTGTCTTGTCCTGAGGAACGTACCAAAGTGCAAATTGCGAATGCAGGTGCGAAAAGCCGCCTTGTTAGACCCTGCCTTATAACTGCTATGATAATAAGAGGCTCACTGCCGGCACACACCGTTCAACGGATCTGTTTGCAACTCTTCTCGCACCACAATCGCTCCTGAGTGGTTGGAACTCTTGCTTCCAATTCTGGACGTCGTCGCTTCAAATCTCGATCCGGACACCGGCTATCCTGACTGAGGATTTCCGTGGTTTTCCTTAGCCCACTATGCAAATCCCGGGATGGAAGTTTAAATTATATCGCGAACGCTTCATTTCATATCCTTTCCGAGTTATTAATATTCAACACTGTACAATCTGTCTTCTGGGATGTTGCAACTTTACGGATATGCTTCCTGTCGCCATCATCATGACGATGACTCATCCTGATGGAGGCAGCAAGCATCTCCGAAACGCTGGTCACTTTCCACCAGACTACACGGCGGAACAACTGATGTCTTCATAGTTGCTGCCGTGAGAACCTGATATCTCAGTCTGCGTCCTTTTTTTTTTAAGTACAGTCATCTGTGTTTCGATTTATAGATTTATTTTCACTTCCATTCAACATAAACGGAAATGTAGGACGTAAGGTTTTACTGTTATGCGTTAGGTGCATTCTACGAATTTAGCTCGTCTTTACGCCCTAACTATTTAAAAGATTTCGATAAAATTTGGTACGTGTGGTGAATACGAAAAACTGTAGAACGAATATGAAGCTTTTATGCGTGAAGATGTGGACTAATTTACCTGGTTCAGAAAAGGATTCAATGAAGAGCTTTTGTGAACTGGAAATTTACATTTGGATTCATAAAAGAATTTCTAGGTTAGCTAAGTCTCTATAAACTTTTCAGGGAATAATGTACGACGTCGGTCTTCAGAAGCAAAGCGGTTTACGATTTACCGACGTTTAGGCGAGTACTGAAGTTGCCATCTTCAAGGTGAATTTCTATGGGCGTGTATCAGGGCAGTGAGAGCTAAGTGGGAGGTGACATGTGATTGTGACAGCAGTGGTCTCTGCTCTCCCAATCACGTGTCACCTCCTTCTCAGCCCTCACTGTAAGATGTTGATATATCGATGTCGGTATCCTGAGTTATACTTTAACCTGCAGCATCGAAAACAATAGGACGAGAGTTTTCAGTTTATTAGCTCGAAGTCAGGCTTCGGATGATAAAGCGACGCATTGTGTCCTTTGCCGTGAAGAAGGACGTACAACCAACTTCCGAAACCTTGTGATTTTAGCAACAGTTATATGATGGGTATATAAAAAACAATTCAAAACAAGGTTATTTAATATTTAGTTTATACCTACGACGAAAGGAATGTTATTAACATATTTCCTTGTTTACGGACGATGTACACAGCTGCAAGAGTTGTTTTTCCTCGAACGGCATGTAGTGGTTATTTTCAAGTGACGCAATCACATAGTGTCAGCATTATCATGGAGAGAGTGGTGATGATGGCACGAGACACCTCACTGAGGACAATCGCGGTGTACCGTCTGTGATTCGAACCGGATCTTACACGAGATCAAGTCATTTTACCGCTATGATAACCTGCACCTTGTTATCATCTCTGTCGTCCTGGTTACTGACGATGTGTTTCAAATCGCGCCACCAGACGGCTACCCGAGTCTGATTCCTGGGTTTTATCTAAGTGGTACTGAATTCGAAACCAGCTACCTGACGGTCAGGGCCTGTGCTCCAAGATACGGGTTCAAATTTTATGCCGAAAATGTTTGAGACACCGCCAAATAAATATTTCTCTCTGAATTATTACTTTTTTATTCTTCCTGGTCAGTTAACTACAGGCTACGACGCTCAAACTGAACTTACAGAATAATTTCTTTTTATTTTGATGTCTTCTGAAATTAATTCACTGTCAGACAACTTCAACATTCCTATCTCTTACCATATTTTAATTTTCACGACGCAGATT